CTGTGAAAGGGAAGTAAACAATAGTTTCTCATCCTATTTAATAACAATTGCGGGTTAACATGCTCATGGCTTTACGCCATGTGTGATTTTACTGTGTGTTTAATTACGTTTGTCTTCATATCATCATTAATATTATTGATCAGCACATAGGAGAAGAACTGGAATTCATTTTGTCTATTCAACTTTTTCTTCTTATATAAGTTATTAGGTTGCTACAGGCTCACTTAGCAGTGCTATCTACAATAACAATAGTCTTGCAGGGTGAGGATGAGTCTAAATCCCAGCAGTTAACCAGCTATGTAAGGAATTTAATTTGTTCCTTTTCAGACTCGCAACATGAAATTACGTTACTGATCAGAAATGCCTAATATTTCAATCTGCATACAATTCAGAAGGCAGTCCTTTCTGTCACTTTACACGGTGTGAAAATCAGCTGTTAATATAGATTACTAGTCCTGAACATCCTTCAGAAAATTTAAAGCTTCTTCCTTCTTCAAAACAAATGTTGAAACCTTTTTTTTATAGTAACCTGTCAGTGACATAAATGGGTACATTATATCTTTAAATTGTGCTGAAAGCTACTTTAATACCTGTCACTTTATACATAAGCTCTCGTCTAGGGGCCCCTAATGCTTGGGTCTTGGGGTGTCACCAGTTCTCATGAGCAAGTACTGATGCAGCTGCTCACAGAGTGGGGAGCTCCTGTTTGGGAGAGTGAAGATGTGTCTAAGCCTTCTTCTCTCTACAATTTCCCCTGAGGCCATTGTTTTACACAGTTACACAAAACTTGGAATTAGCACAGTGGTTTTGTGAGGTGTGAAGGATAGTGCCTGACACTAACTTGGTAAAAAGACAGATAGTAAAAACATTATGTGAGATTTACAGTGAAGAACAAGCAATTTTGAAAAGTGTTATGATTCCTTTTTAAGAGAAATCTAAGGAATTCTATTATGTACTTGATAATAGTGTTCATATCCTGGGAGTAAAGCTGTTGTGTGCGTGCCTTTGTTACTGGGTCACTTTTTATGCGTGACTGTGCACATATTTGTCCTACGTAAATCACAAGATGATCCTGGGTTTTAAATCAGTTTATGCATTTTAGTTTCAGTTGTAATGTGTTGTGTTTGGGTCTGGACAAGCACACACACTTCTCAACAAAGTGACACATTTATTCTTTCTAAATGTATTAGGATATTTTATCTCCTAGTGTTTTTTGACTTTGACCTACATTTACATTTTTCTGCTGTTACAGTAGTATCACTGTTTACTTATGACAGCAGACATATTTAAATCTTAACAGACGAGACGCAGAGCAAGCTGTGTCCATGGAAGGGCTGTCCACCTTTGTTGTATTGTTAATTTTGCAGCTGTATGTGTGTATCTGCAATTGAAAGAAGAAACAGCGAACGTCTTTACAGTTATTTCTAAAAAAGAATGGTCTGAAATTAAATATACTAGCATACATGTGTCCTCCATGCACAAACTTAGAACATTTACAGCAGTCTGCAGTATGTGGGACTGTTCTGTTTATGTGGTTCATTTGTCAGGATCTTACAGGCAGGCATTAAAAACCAGATATCACCAGGCACCTGCAAGCCACAGACACATGCTCTTCTCTTGAGCTTTATTAGGCAGAAATGGTTTAGATGAAATCTTCCAGCATTATTCTATTGTTGTAGATCTCTGATGTAAACCTGATACCCAGCACACTTTTTTCTCACTCTCTGTGGGTCAAAGAAATGTTCAAATGACTTAAACTTGAAAATAAAAAAAAATCTGAACAACATTTAGTGGTAAGACTTCAGAAGCAAAAGTATCAATATGTGGAATTCCTTTCAATATGTCATTAAGCTCATGTCCCCGTCTCCCCCTGAATAACTGATTTGTGGTGTTTGTCTCATTTTAAAAACAGGTGACAAACAGACGCACAACACAGAAAATGATTTGTGTGCACAGAGTCAGTTTGCATCCTTGTTATGGTCTCTGGCTATAGGATCATGTGCGTGTGCTCTGTTTCCTATCTCTGCTCTCTTGCCTCCCTTTTTGTGAAAATTTAATTTGACAACTTTAAATTTCATCTTGTTTTATGTTTTACTTTTTCATTGAAACATGCAATATTATCTATGGACTCTATGAAAAACTGAAATCAAAAATACGTTGATTTAAAAACGTTAATCTCTTAACCATGTCATGAAAGTGACACTTTTGATATTTACTTTATTTGCTGTGATTATGAATGAATATCCAATTTAACCCACATGTGTTTTGTTTCACAAGGTGCTGTGTGCTTCAGTGATAATGATGCTTTTAACCATTTCTACAGCAGCCGGTTCATAATAAAATCAGTGTGAAATCTTCTATTATGTGTCCTTATTTAATTTTGCACATGTAGTTCAAGTAAATAACACAAGGGCATTGGGAGTGCCATGTCGTAGAGAACTGGTAGCTGATGTGTGTGTTTGTTTCTGCTCATGTAAGCGTGCTGACTCGTACACTCGTAACACCATGTGGTAATTGTGATCATTTTTAGTTTACAGTTTTTAGTGTTAACCTAGAATTGTTTTGTTTTTTAAATGTACTACTGTTACAACACAAGACAATAGGACATAACTTTATTGTCAGATTTATTGAAATACATTTTGCCCAAATACTTATTGTCTGTTGTATCTTGTGTGTGTGACATGCATGTATGTGGAAATGACAGTAATGCTGATGTTGAACTCAAACATATGGAATGTTTTGCTGTAAAATAGTATGTAAATAAAAATTAAACAACACAAATGATGCACAGTCCTTTTTTTAACTTGTGTGTGTGTGTGTGTGAGAGAGAGAGAGAGAGAGACAGCGTTAAAGCTCATGATAAAGAAAATAAAGAATAAAGTGTGTATAGTCCTGTAAAATCCACAAGAAATATAATTTAATTAGTACATTATTTGTAGCAGTTTATTATCTGCTAAGATATTTTTTCATTGTATATAGTTGTACATTTTTTCCATACTTACATTTGGCAACAAGCTACTTTCTCAAATAGAAATAAAAACAGTCATGATCAGCATGCATACTTTTAATTCAGATACATTTATCAACTGTTTTTTTATGCTTTGTCAGAGTCACAGGTCAAATATCCATGTTGATCCTTTATCAGTGCAACAGTGTTAACTCCCACTCTTCATTCATCTGATTCACACTCACTTTCACATGGACATCAAGCCAGCTGTACTTGCCTGCAGGTTCTCGTGGCCGTGATCAACAGCTGGTCCATTTATGTCCGAGATGGAGATTTATTCTAAATTTCTTTCATGTTCCTCTGAAAGCTTAAAGCCAACAGCTTATACTCATGTTTACCATTGCTGCATTTCTATTTTTAGATGCAATGCTCTTATGTAACACTTACTTTCACATTATGGACCACTGGTGTCTGCTCTGCTTGGCTGAATTGTGTACACTGTATTTGTGTGTCCATATACTAAATTGGATTCAAGTATGTCTTGTAACTTCTATGAAGTTACAAGAAAGTCGAAGGGGCAAATGAATGCATTAAAAGCTAAGCATCTATCATACATGAAGTTGTGAGAAAGTGCCAAATTATATAAGCCAAGTTGCAACAAACAACACTTTTAATAAAAAAAAAAAAAGTCAGCATGAGGTAGTGCTGTATACAGATTTAGTATTTAGTCCATTTGGACTAAACACAAACAATTTCAAATAATTCTCACACATTACAAATAATACTTGCAATTTTTCAGTGTGAATATGAATTTCTCCCAATACTATTATACTGTATATTTCATGAATACTGCTGATCACTAAACCAAAAAACCTAACCACATTTCAAAAATGTGAGCACTATCTACAAATGATATAGTATTTTCATAAAACCAATTAAAACACAAAGGAAAGCAAGTTTAATATTTGCAATCCCATCTGCTAAGTTTCATTAGAACAAATACAGATTTGACTAAAACACACTACTGACTATTAGAAATAAAGAAAACATTATTTAGCAACTGATAACTGATTGGATAAGACCCATAATCATGAAATGAATGGCTCTAATTTTGATATGGTATATTTTTCATTGAATTTTCAAACACAACATTTCAACCTACTGAATTTGAAAATCAGATTTTTCATAACCTGTAAAACATCTGCTCGAGTCACTGTGCGCTGTACGGTCAGCGAACAGTTTCAGAATATTACTTTGCACAGACAACATATCAGGTGTTATACCATAAGCATGTATATATTTAGATTTAAGCTGCAAAAAATATCAGAGAATGTAAGACAATAAGATATAATGTAATGTGCGAATCAAGGGTATTTTCCCTCAAAGGTTATAAACCCAGTTTGTTGGTTTGGCATGACGATATACACATATTATTATATACAGTGACAGAAATACTTAGTGTAAAAGTAGTGATACAGTTTTTTGGTAGAATGATGTGTGCTCAGAGCCGGTCAAGGAAAAATATAAAATACTATCAAACAATTTAAAAGAAACACCCATTATATAAATTATTATAATATACAATGTCCATAATCTCTGGGTAAAAGATCCAATTTAAAAATCAATGTGAAATTGATGTACACATGTGGAAAAGGAATGGGCAACTATGACAAAAACAAATAAAATTAGAGATAAAATTAAGACTTAATAACAATGCAGAGACTGTGACATAAAGAGTCAGATATACTGTATTAGATTAACGACGGAATATACAAAAAGCATTGCAGGTGACTGAGAAACATGATATTATTGGATTTTTAAAAACAGTTCTTACAGGTTTTTTTCAGTTTTTACATTTTTAATAAAACATAAATTGTACTAATACATAACTTTCTTGCCATATTATGTTAAATTACATGTATGGCCATATTATATAGCCTATATTTTATCTTTATAAAATACGGCACAGATTACATCCACGACTGTGGTTTAACAGTGAGTGGCAGTAAAGCTCTTCTTCCCTGAGATTGGTTAATCAAACATTCAACGAAGAAGAAAATGGCCCAATCACAGTCCGCCAAACCCTGATGCGGATATCCTGAATCCTTTTTCGCATGCATTTGCACTGTGGACCCTTTATGTTATATTCGGAGGGCTAAAGTCTAGGCGTTAGTATTGTCAGACATTACAGACAGAAACGGTTGTCTTATAGATATGTTGTCCTGCGGAGAAGCCGTGTTGCGGGCCGTGGAGACGCCGCTTTTCTGGCTCGGTGCTCTGACCGCAGCCTGGCTGTCAGTTTCCTTCGTGTATCGGCTGCTGTTCGGGATCAGGGTGTGGGTGATGGGCAATGGACTGCTGGTATCGCCTCCCAAACTGGGGAAATGGGCAGGTGAGAAACTGTACGGGGACCCTTACACACTGCAGTCTTACCTTTCTTAGGTAACATTTACAGGGTCTTTATAAACTGTAATGAGTCCTTATTGAGGGGCAACAATAAAGGACATTCCAGCACTTAAATTCATTAGGGAGAGTTTTCCAAGCCCCAGTCCCATCAACCCACGCTCTAAATGTTATGGATTCAAGTATAAAGAGAGCAGTGTTAACATGACAACAGTGCACCAGTGGGCATCAACCTGAACTTTAAGGAAGCAAACTCTCTCCTCTAGTAACGAATCCAAACTGCTAAAATGTAAGAAAAAAAGACCACACAGTGTGTGTCTAATCCACAGAAATCAATTTAAGAACACTCTTTGGGCACACTTTGGAAGCTTGTCATGGGCAGGTGCTTTCCACTACCTTTTAGCTTTTCATAGCCTAAACCATTAGTCAAGTAAACAAAACAACAACAAAATAATCACAGTTGAATCAACAATGAAAAATATCAGTATAAGACCTGTTATATAACTTTTTTAAAAACTTGTTTAATCGCTTTCACCCTTGGTTTATTCATAGTCACATTTTAAAAAGCTTGGTCTAAATGATGTTGTAAAGGGGTAAGTGAACATAAAGCTTCTGGCTGAAAGTTATAATCTGTTGCATCTCTGTTGGTTAACCAGTTCAGCTTGTAAGAACCTGTGTGACAATGATTTGTGGACTCAGATTTGATTCAGATGTGGGATGGGAACCAAAGTTAACATGTTGGTTTTATCATGTTTTACTTATGTAATTGTGTACCTATGGAATGGTTTTTGGTTTGTGTGTTGTTAGTTGTCACCAGACCCACTGGAACAATGCAGTAATTTTTGCTCGTCGAACACATCATGAATAAGCTTTACAGTCCTATGCTGTTGCACTGTGTCCTAGCTGTGTTGTCTAATAACTTTGCTCTGGCTTGTGATTACACACTATGGCTGCTTCTTTGTTCAAGCATCAGTAGATGTCATTGTTATTCTCTGGCACTTTTGAGAAGAAACAAGCAATAGGCAGGGGAATGGTCATTGGGTGTGAACTGTAGATAGTCTTGCAATTGGGATTATGGTTCGAGGGGATTATTGTATCAGGCTGAATACTGTCCATCTGGCCACCCTGCTCATTCACTGAACCTTGACCTTTGAACAGACAGCTGGGGCTGTGTTAATGTTGGCAAGTCTGGTGTTCAAGGTTCACATCATAAAACAAATAGCTGTTAAACCACAGGTAGAAAATTTTACCATTCCAGTCATGGTTTAGAAGATGCTATCCTGCATGGTCAGTGGAAATCACAAGGCAGTTTTTAATAGTATGTATTGTAAGTTAAATGGCAATTGGTAAATAATCAATTTTTCCCCAAACATTAATTCCTTTATGTGCATTTATTTTTACTTTGACAATTAAAAACCCACTTTTTAAAATTATTTTTAATCAGTCTTGATTCTCTGTTAATAAGTGGATTTTAAATTTAATTGTAAATTCCCAGCAGGCTTTTTCAGCCTGCGTAATCGCAATCACATCAGTCTGCTAGAGAAACCCAAACGCTTTGAGGATGCGAGCTCAAATTGCCTTTGATCTTTCTGGTTGCAGCTAAAAATGGAAATGCATTAGATGGGTTTTTATTTTTGCTTACACATGCAAAATGATTCAGAATATGCAATGAGGCAAGGGAGGCTGTTAACCTCAGCTGCTTCTTTCATTCACAAGCTTTATTCCACTGAAGTGGACTCGATTGAGAAAACGGCCTGATTACGTAACAGGACTAGAGACATTCACAAATGAGTTTCACATGAGTAGCAGGATCCTCATAGTTTTGGATCACTGCTGCCCACGTCTCGTGTGTGTGTGTGTGTGTGTGTGTGTGTGTGTATGTGTGTGTGTGTGTGTGTGTGTGTGTGAGTGAGAGAGAGAGAAAATGTGGCATGATAATTTGACAGAGCCACTGGAGTGGTATTCTGATCAAACTGAGAAAAATTGATCAATCTGAGACAATACTTCAATTGCTAATAATACAGCGGCCTAATTGTATTGTATAATGCAGCTGTTGAATTACATGTTTAAATAATCCTGTTGTTTAATGACGACATACTAGCCTGTATCAACCTGCTCTCTACATGCATACAATACACTGACAGCCACCACACTAGAACCACCTACTTAATACTGTGGTTGGAGCTGTCACTCTGAGGCTGTTATGATTTTCATTTTTGATCAACCTGACAAAATATTTTTATTGATTAACAGTATGAACTAAGTCTATAAAGTGTCAGGTAATAGTAATAGTCACCCATCACATATTCCTGAATTTTAAGCTGACATATTGAAACTCCCAACAGTTCAAAACCATAAGATACTGTTTTATTAATATTTTAGTCGTTGTTGCTAAAATTACTTAATTAATCAGTTAATTATAAAAAATAAAACACAATTTTGCTTATTTTATCAACCCTATTCTGATGTAGCCTAAATTACTCTGTAAATTTACAGTTTTAAACCTTTGACACATAAATTCTAATGTGATTTCTTGATTAATGATGTTCTTCCGGGTAGAAAGGAAAGTTTTTAGTGTTTGTTTCCAGAGCATTTTATGAACACCTCTGTGCAGATTCTCAGTCATCCAGGTCATAGTAAACTGACAAAACCTTAGAAAAAATCAACTGGACTTAGATTTCTAGATCGAAGACGTTTCACCTCTCATCCAAGAGGCTTCATCAGTTCTGACTGACTGGTGTTGAGCCGGAGATATTTGTCCCCCTCGGTGGTGTTTCAGTCCTTTGAAGGCCAACAATGTCCCCTAACGACCGGGTCGTTATAGCCCGGTACCAATGCAAACTCTACAAAGTAGTGAAAAAAGGGTCTGAATACTTGCAAAAACAATTTGCAAACTTGTTCTTAATTTGTCAATATAGTTTATTAAGTGGACAAAATCAGCAGTTTTAACCATTTAAAATTAAATCAACAAAAAGTGTACAAAAGGGGTCTGAATACTGTTTGTCTGCTGAAGCCTCTTCACTTCTTCACTGTGTTTTATGGTGTTTACCAGCTATTAAGGAAGTGCTAAAATGTAGATGAGGATTACTACATTTTTTCTTGTCTAGTGAATCAGCTGCATCTTGCAACACTGATTATCAAAGCCTGATATACAAGCCCGGGCATACTGAGATTTCTAAACCAGGGTATATTGGACAAATCATCATTATGTCTTCCTTCAGGTACAGACAGTGATAAAGCTGATATAGGCCTGGTCCGTCAATCCTGATCAGCAATTAACCGATGCTGGCACACAGTAGCACTATCATCAGAACAGTCTAGCCTACATTTGCAGAAGACAGCAGTTCCTAAAATAGAGCCTGCTTTATTTGAGTGAAAGGAACATGCACTCAGCTGTAAAAGCTTTCTTTTCTTATTTTTTTGTTCTGACTGCAAAACATCTCATTCTTAAAACAACTAAAAATAACCCATCCAATGTTTCCCTCATCATCGTGCCTGCTGACTCTCCCTCACTCACCCCTCCTCTTCTCTGTGCTATTTTTAGTTACCCCCAGGATCCCCCAAGTTCGTGTTTGTCATTTTCTCTCCTCTTTCAGCCCCCACTCCCTTCTGTTTGGCTCTGCTGCAGCCCTTGAGGATGCTTGGCACCTCAGCAACATCTGTACTCAGGAAAATCACACAAAGGGGAGATAGGTACAGCAAAGGGTGGATAGACAGATGAGTAAGAGAAGGAACAAATAGTATTGTAAAAATAAGCTTTATTATTGCTGCAAGAATATTTGTAGTAGACGTGGCAGTAGAACAAACGGACAAATTACCTGGATGTTCATTCAGGTTGGTAGGACTTGTTTGTTTTTCCACACAGTGGAAATGTCTGCCACAGGCTTACTTTGGCCTCCTTAGATGGATTCTTTAATTCCCTACTCCATCATATAAAAAGACTGGATAAAGATTCGGTATAAAACAATAAGGCCTTAAACTTTACTTTGCATGTAGTATTCAGTGACCCAAAGAGTCTGTGAAAGCCCTGCTAGCAGACCCTAGAGGATGTGCTGCTCAGTGCACCCAGCCAGGCTGATTTGGTTTGACCTAATCAACCTAGCAATACTCTCATCTTAAGTATAATAGGTCTAATCTGTGATGCAGAAAAGGAACAGTTAAAAGACTAGGATGAATATTGCTCTTTAAGTGAGGTTTTGAAGGTTGCACTGGGACATATTATAACACACTGATTCTCCATCCCACTCCCCATCCACTTTTTGTTATATTTAGCCAGAGGTGTGATGAATAGTTTCTTCTGAAAAGTGGGAATTGCTAAAAATAGGCCCCTGCTGCTGCTGCTGTTTGTGCCAGGCAGTTCCAGGGCATCCATTTGCCTGAGTGCCACTGATGACAGAGAGGATCTCACTTCGTCTCTTTGTTCTCCTTATTTACCTCATTTGCTATCCATGTACCCCATCCTGCAGCTCATCTATCTGCTCTGACATTCAGCCCTTTACAATTTTTAGGTCAATTTATATTATTTTTCTAAAGCTTTTTGTGCTTAGCCATCATTGATGTTTTTGCAATGCACTCTCCAGTGCTCATTTATCAATCGGTGTACAGCACTAATACACTATAGGAATGCCTGACCATTATAATTTATTTAGGGACATTAATGACATTTCATTCAAATACATAGACTTTAATATGGAGTTGGTTCCCCCCATAACAGTTTCCACTCTTCTTGGAAGGCTTTCCACAAGATTCTGGAGTATTTCTGTGGGAATTTGTGCCCTTCCATTCTGTAGAACATTTATGGGGTCACGCGCTGATGTTGGACGAGAAGGCCTGGCTCACAATCTCCATTCCAGTTCATTCCAAAGGTGTTCTATGGGGTTGAGGTCAGGGCTCTGTGTGGGCCAGTAAAGTTTTTATACACTAAATTCAGCCAACCATGTCTTTATGAACCTTGCTTTGTGCACTGTCTCACAGTCATGTTGGAATAGAAAAGGGCCTTCTCCAAACTGAACACGTTTCCGCTGCTCCACAGTCCAGTGGCGGTGTGCTTTACACCACTCTGTCTGATTCTTGGATATGTGGCTTCACATGTCCCAACTTACTGAGCAGATGAGTGAAATTTTACTAGATGGGCCCGTTAGCCCTAATGGGCTGTTTGGGCCTTGCCTCCAGGAAGCAGTCTCTCACCTGCAACAAACATCTGAAGAGGCAGACGGAATGAGAAGGCTCACTTCCTGGGACTGCTTGCATCCTCAGCCTCCCCAAGGGTCGCACTTCAGGCAGAGGTGCCCAACAGCCAGCGCTGTGGTGGCTGTCTCCCAGCCAGCGGCTTACTTGGCTTCATCGTTATGTGCACTTACGTGGTTCAGGACACCGGGGATGGCATTTGCTGTTGTTGGTCCTCTTCGCCTTTTTTGCTTAAGCATCTGGGCTGTTACTGTGTGTAACATTCGTCTGTCTGCTCTTACAACACAAGGCTGAGTCACTTTGGGGTTGGGTTCACATTATGCGCACATACGCCACAGGATGTTGATTGTGGGGCATGCTGTTGACAGTCACTGTTTTTCCTCATTCTCTGCCTTGTTGCTCGAGCATGTAGACTGTTGCTCTGTGTAATGGCGTGAGGCCATTTTCAGGTGCGTGTTCTTGGCGTGCGAACCCACTTGGTGTGTACCCCGTCCTGCCTCTTGCTCTCTGGTGTTCCTGTTCTGCTCGAGCTTGGACTTTTATGGTGCGTAATTGTCATCCTTGACTTCTTGCTATGGTAGTTGGTCTCTGTGTGAGGGGTGCGATAGTGCCTGTCCTACAGAGAGGGCCTGTTGCAGGAAAGGGGGTGTTCTCTCTCTGGGCCTGTTGCCTATGGGTTGTGGGTTGTAAGCTGAGATGCTCTATTGCTCATAGGCTTTGGCAGGTCCAGTGGGGGCATTGACTACATCCAGCTTCTCCTTAATGTCACTGCTCTTGGAGGGCGAAGCTTATATGGAACGTTGGTTACATATAGACATAACCCCAGAATAACCAATGAATATAGGTGTAGCCCTCTACTCTGATGGCCCCACTGACCACCTCCACTAGAGGGAGTAGAGCTCAGGTCATGGGGGTGATATATACAGTGGATGCAGACCTGAGGGAGTAAGCCCACTGCAGGGCACAGGAGCGTGAAAGAAAGGCTTCACAACTGTGTATGCGCGCAGGGATGAACCCAATAGCAACAGCTTTTAGAGCACTATGCCTATAGAATCTGGCGTTACGTCTTTACGTAACCAATAATATTCTGTATATCGCTTTTCTCACTGTTCATGGTGTCAGAGGTCGATGGTGTAGCCTGTAGACTAATATGCAAATCAGAAATGGTAACAAATGTTATGTTTTTTGTGGTCCTCCTTAATTAATCTCTCAACTTCTTTTGTCTTGTTGTATGAATCCATCCTCATGGTTAGTTGAACAATACAAGGAGAGCACAACTTACCTGCCTCAGTTTTGAATGAACCAGCCAATTGTATGTCAGTCTTATGTTTATGTAAATAATTTATACCTTGTACAGTGAATTTTTCATGTAATATGGAAATACAAAAAATGTTTTCATATTCAATTTGGAGTTTCCTTTGTTGTTTGTATGTACTTTGCCCCGCTAATTTACTCTCTGTCCTCTTTTCCACTTCTAGTTGTGACAGGAGCCACAGATGGAATTGGGAAAGCTTACGCCGAGGAGGTAACTCTGGACATTTTCTGACTCTTGACAGAGAAGAGTGGACCACAGTGAAATGAGGGAGCTGAGCACATTTTGTGACTGTGTTTCTGTCTAACATTCACTCACTGACTATACTAAAACTGCTTAACTGACATTCTGAAATAAAAGTCATTTGAAGAGGATTTTAGACCTGACGCATGTTGATCATCACCACAAGCCAACAAAATGTCTTGCACTGCTGTTTACACTTTATGTTTTGAAGTTGACACGTTGCCTTTTGTTGATGTTTTGTGTGTTTGCAGCTTGCCCGCAGAGGCTTTGCCATCGTGCTGATCAGCCGCTCTCAGGAGAAGCTGGATGATGTATCCAAGGCGATCGGTGTGTTGTCTGTTTATTTATCATGGTTGTAAACATGCTGTGTAACTATGTAAACAACAATGTTGTCAAATGTGGAAAGTTAATGGGAAGTGAACATTTCTGTAGACGAGTTTCATATAAATCACAGTAAAGTACAGTACTCTGTTCAGCATTACTGTGTACTGTCCATCAGTTGAACTAATCCTGCATATTACAGTCAGTGTAAATAAACAGTACTTCTGATCCATCGGCTCCAGACTAATATAGTTTGTGTATTAAATATGACAGCTGCTAGACTGGAGGTTAGTCTCCGTGATCCATGCAGCTATACAGCCTAATTTATCCTGAGCCTGAAATGTTGCATTCATATTGCACTGCATGATAGTCCAGCAGGGCTAAATGACTAAAGGATATTGCATTGAATTGCAAAAGTGAGTCTTTACTGAATGGTGATTGAGCAAGACCCTTAAAGCTTTTTGTTTTGAGGCAGTAAAGCCTCTTGCTATAAGTGAATCTGTCCAATTAAATGAAAGCTTTCTCTTAAGGGAGGGATATCCTCAGTGATGATAAAGAATTATTTGTGGGTTTAATCATAGTTTTGCTCTGCACTACCTACTATATACTTTTAACTCATTTTTGGTATCAGACTATATATAAAGTTCGTGCATGTAAATGTTTATTTGTATTTGTACCTTCAGCAAGCAAATGTGGAGTGGAGACCAAGACAATCGCAGCAGACTTCAGTGCTGTAGACATCTACTCCAAGATTGAAGATGGACTTGCAGACCTGGAGATCGGAGTACTGGGTAAGACTGCAGCAGCTACCTCACCCTTTAAAATTTAATTAGGCTGTTCACATGAAATGTTAGTATCAATTTGAATCAAGGCCTACAGACATCAGGGATGCTGTATGATATACCATGATAATAATATTAAGTTTTTTATGAAATCATCTTGGTTTCTTCAGCCCTTTGCTGCCCTCCTGAGATTGGAAAGAGGAATAACACTGAATTCTATGTTTACAACAGTGTAATCTCCTTTTCATCCACCAGTTTGTCAACACTATGTTGTATTTTGAATGTCACAGCACCGTTATTTTTCTCTTGTTGACAGTGAACAATGTCGGAGTATCCTACTCTTATCCTGACTTCTTCCTCAATGTTCCCAATCTTGACACTGTAAGTCAAAGCTTTATTTTTGCTCTATTTGCCATGATAAATGAGAAAAATAGTTTTACAAATAAGGCAGTAATAAAAGTCTTTTTTGGATGAGTTTTGAGCAATCTAACTCCACCTCAAACTGGATCCATTTCAGTTAGCTGTATGCACAGTTTTGCACTCTGAGCAGTTTACTGCATTATGAGCACGAGCTGAATAGAATACAAAATGAAACTGCACAAAAATGGCCAGCTGAGTAAAATCTTATTAAATGTTGTATTTGTTTTCTTTAACCAGAAAGACATTTGTGATTTATAACACTGTAATTATTCCATCTTGCTTACCTAAAGGGAGCCTATGCAATCTTTGCTGAAAGGCGGCCACGATGGCAATGGGGGGGGGCAAATAGTGGACATGGCAAAACCATAGGGTAACAGCTGAGAAGTCAAAGCCATCATACTAACTCAGGCTGCGTCCGAAACCGCCTACTACCATACTGTATAGTAGGCGAAAAGCAGTAGGCGAGGCGAGTAGTATGTCCGGATTCGTAGTATTCCAAAAACAGTAGGCGAAAAGTACCCGGATGACCTACTGCTTCCGGTTGGATTTTGCAGTGTGCATACGATGGACACTTCACTATCCCATGATGCCCCGGGAGAGGAGTTATCCAACAAAGAAGACGCTGCTATGAAAACGTATGTCACGTGATGTATCAACATGGCGGATGTAGTACGTCCGAATCTCATTCATACTACCAGGCTTCATACTATACAGTACCTACTGTTTTAACGGTCAGTAAGTAGGTACTTCATCTCTTTCAGTACGTACTGGCACAGTATGCGGTTTCGGACGCAGCCTCAGTCTGTTACACTGCCACATCTACTTAAACTTTGTTAGCTCTTTCAGAAGTGACAAAGTGTCACCTTGAGGTGAGCAGACTGAAGCATTTCAGTAAATAATTTCTACTGCCTTGTGCTTTAACAAACCACAAGATCAGTCCCGATAGTTAAACTGATACAGTTGTCTACGTTTCTAAACTCTGTGTAATCATTGTCCTGTTCTTCTTGTTTCAGTTCATCGACTCCATGGTCAATATTAACATAAAGTCAGTGTGTGAGGTGAGTTGGTTTTAAAACATTGATGTAAGGAAGCTTTTTGTTACTGATCACCAAAAAAGAAACTTTTAATGTCAGAGAGAAAACCAATCAAGCAAAGTAGATGATTGCATCGGTAGCAGATTGACAGCATCTGTGTAGACAGATTTGTTTTCCACTTGTGTGCACCATAATTTTTTCTAGTTTTTGACAAACTGCTCAGGTTGAAATAAAAAAAAATAAAATAAAGGTGTAAAGGAATGTGAAAATGTTCTCAAATGCTGTTATATAGTCAACTTGGAGACCCCTGATATGTGGTTCAGTCTCAGTCTGCACAACATGGATTCTGTAATCATGGATTTGTAAATGTTGTACATCTCACTGTGAGGTCTGGGTTAATTTAGTCCAAGTAGAATCAAATGCCTGAGATTGTTTGAGATCTACTGTCAGTTAGTCCCACTGACCAATAAAGACACCCCCACACTACACAATGCAGTGAAATAAACCAGAGTAAGTCACTTCCTTTTCTGTTCTCCGCATTTGTCAGTTCCCAGAGCAGCAGCTAAAGTCCACCCACTCTCTTAACACTTAATTTATGTCGGTCATTATTTCTTTTAACTACTCCCTCTGCTATCATTATCATTTCCTTTCTCTCTCCGTTCCCCCCCCACGACCACCTCTCCACACATAACCCACACACACACACAGACGTTTACAAATGTGAACTCACACCTCCACACTCTTGTCGACAACCCACACACAATAAAATACTTTTTTGTCTGCCCAGTGCTTCTATTCTGTTGCTCATACTTGTCACCTTCTCTCCCTCCATCCCTTTCCACTGTTTTTCCAGATGACGCGTCTGGTTTTACCTCGAATGGTGCAGAGGTAAGTCTGTTTGATTTGAGGAGTGATTTGGTAACACACAGTACATACTGTACCATCTGTATATGTCTTAATGTCAGCTTCACATCCTATTTATATAAGATTCTGTTAATTTTAGATTGTAGCCCCCAATCGAAATGAAGTCTGAAAGCCTTCGCTTGCTTGGCTGTCTTGTACACATCCAGAAGGGATGTTTTCTCAAGATATCATCTACTTGTAGTCTGGATTAAATATTTTATGAAGACATCACAGGCTGGAGCAAAAAATATCGCCAGACTGTAAATACTTAGGTATTTATGTTGGTGTATCTTTGATCTTATCAGTATCTACCAGCTCTTATTTGATGTGTGGCAAGTGCTGTGGTGGCTCAGCTTGTAAGATCAGATAGTACCGTGGCCTTTTATCATCCTGGGATTAATTTTACAGTGAAGTGTTTTTTGCATGGTTCCCTTTTCTTTCATTCCTTCTGTTTACTTTCAGTGTAAAAGAGCATTTCCTTCTATCGCTGTATTTCCAGGAAGAAGGGGGCCATCCTCAACGTCGCGTCTGCAAGTGCGATGTACCCTGTTCCTCTTCTTACGCTCTATTCTGCCACCAAGGTAATTTCAGTACATGGCCTAAGTGTTAACTGAGGTGTTGTCTATAGATGCATCTCAGCATTATAAATGATTTGCATATTGCTATAAAGTGTGGTCCATAAGCAGAAATCCATCACTGTTGTCATGTTATGGACTTAACATTGAGCCAAAAGGTAACTACTGGTAATGACGTACTGTATGTTGGTTCAATGTTTAGGCTTCTTAGATGGAGGGATAAAGGGAGGGGGTTGTCTTTGCTCATATTTGCTGTTTTAATTGTCATACATAAATAAGTCAGTGACTAACTGGTGTCCTGAGGTAGTTTAGAAATTAAAATGTTTATAGGAGCATGTGGCATCATAATGTTTTATAACTGTCTCGTGTTAAAACCAGCCTGCTGTTCACAGTTTCAGCTGTTAGATTTAATGGTGTCTTAATACTGGGTCCTGTTTATCTACTAAATCCCAGTTTCTGCACTGCAAGTTTAAAGGTACTTCTAAAATTCATCTGTTGTGGGGTGAATCTTTAGTTTAATGCTCAATTTTATGCCATCATTACAACTGCTATTATTGTGGAAAAAAACCCCATTATACATGAACTCTCTGTATGTCCTCAGTTTTTGTCCTGACTGTGTTCTTATTCTTTTGAGAATTGCAGTCTTGTGGCTTTTGGTGTTTGATGTTTTCTTCTTCTTCTTACTGGAACTGTGGTTTTGGCCTTAATGACCCGCTTTTATCTTATATAGGCATTTGTGGACTTCTTTTCACAAGGACTGCAAATTGAGTACAAGAGCAAAGGCATCATTGTCCAGGTAAATCGTGCACCAACCTCAGTTCTTTTGGTACAAGCCCACATGCTTTTAATAAAGTTAGCTGGTTTGTAACCAAAGATGAAAATCCATTTTCTGTGTTAACAGTATTTTCACGCTCCCCATGAAGAGACTAAAGCCAACAGTGATTTTCCTCTACTTACAGTCTGTCTGTCCTGGATTATCTTCTTTGCTTATGCCATAGACCCCCTCGGCTCTTTAAAAGCAATAAAAACGAATGAAGCAAACACACCTTTGCACTTGGTGACATGTTTCCTCATTACAAAACACCAGACCCTGATGTTTGTTAAGAAAATCCAGAGATCTTGAGCATGGGCCGTTAGGGGGGGCAAAGTTAGGACGATTCTAAGGGCCCACGAACTTTGGGGGCCCACAGTCTGCAGTTTTGGGCCCTATTTTCATAGGGCCCCAAACTGCTAGCGTTTCAGATGTTATAAAAAGTTATGGCTGTCCAGAGCCATATCAGGGACTGGTGTTTCATAATGAGGAAACATGTCAACCAGTGTGTTTGCCTGATATTTTTTTAACTTTAATTTGTAAGGGACGATGTACAATATTAAACATAAATGCTGCCATTTAATACATTGTACTAGTGTTATTACCTACAAACAACAATGGAGGTGGTACAGATGGGAAAGCTAATCCAGGACTGACATTAATTCTGAGTAGAAGCTGATCATTGTTGGATTTAGTTATAGTATATTATAAATGTCATCATATTGTATCAATACGTTATCAATCCATACCACAAGACACCTTGTCCTTTTATACTACTGCTGTGTTTCCTTCTTTTTCCAGAGTGTTCTACCATTTTTTGTAGCTACTAAGCTGAGTAAAATCCGACGGCCTACTCTGGACAAGCCCAGTCCAGAGCGCTTTGTCGCAGCTGAGCTCAACACTGTGGGGCTACAGACCCAGACCAACGGCTACCTGCCCCATGCTATCTTGGTAAGGTTGGGTATGCAGTGGAAAGAACAAATAGCATCTCTGTATAACTGAATGAAACACACATCAGGCTGCTGAAAAACAGGTGCAGTTCCATTATACAATGCAAAAACATCAGTGTTTATCTGCCTGTTCTCGCCTCATCAGGTTGCAGTTTCACAAAGAGCCTTCTACCAGCTCATTGTAACTCACTGCATTAATGTAGTGTCAGCACTTGCTAAAACATTTGTCAAAATTAAATACCCACTAAAATAATGTAGTGGGGTGCTCCTCTGCCTCACAGTATTGTCTGCATCCTAACACTGGAATGAATCTGTGGAGACACAGACATCAGGAATGAGACGAAAACACGACTCTAGTTCAGATTTTTCAGAAACCGTCTATTTTCAGCAGATGTGTCAGAGAACAACATTCATTTCCACTTGCTCAGTGTCGCGTCAGATACTCTTAAACTGTGACCTGAATATCAATGTTTATTGTTATACATATCAATATAATCATCATTTACATCATGTTTATTGATATACATATCAATATAATCATCATTTACGGCAGGTCAGTCAGACATATTCAGCATTAACACACATTTGTTGATTCTGCAGTTAACAGTATTAAGTAGAGATCCTTCTGGGCATCAGCCCCTGTATTTCACATAGTGACAAGCTGCTGACACATAGTGTAATTCCTTAATTGCTTCCCAGTAATAATCTGCAATTCCACAAGCTTCTGCATATTCAGAAACAACAATATATGTTCTGTTATCTTTGCTATAGTTAATGTGTTGATGTACACCGATCAGCCATAACATTATGACCACCTGCCTAATACTTACTTTACACAGGAGCCAGTGTGGCAGTTGGGTTGGTTGGCACTCCTGTCGCTCTGCAGCTCACTGTGAATCTTCTGTGAATCCATTTGCTTCCATAGTTCTACTGTCAGGAAGAGCACAGAGGTGCCTACAATTCAGTGAAAAACTTCTGTAAAAGGAGTGAAAGCTGTGGTTGTGAGGACAAGTTAGAATTTTTTAGACTAATTCAACAGCCTCACCAGTCTAGGTGTGATATCACCACTACAGCCCCTGATTCTTTCTCTTCATAGAGACCAATGGACAGTAGTTCTCATTTTCAAACTTTTTAACAAACATTCAAATACATTTTAATCTTTTGAACATTACAAATGGAATGTTTAATCTACAGTAGATCAACCTCATTATCAGTGAACCTTGGGTGTCCATGACCCTGTTGTGTTCACTGTCTGTCCTTCCTTAGACACTGTTGGTAGGTACTGACCACTGCAGACCAACAACACCCACCAAGACCTGCAGTCTGTTAGATGCTCTGACCCAGTCGTCAGCCATCACAGTTTGGACCTTGTAAAAGTCACTCAGATCCTTACACTTGCCCATTTTTCCGGCTTCCAACACATCAACTTTGAGGACTGAATGTTCTCTTGCTGCCTAATATACCCCATGCACTGACAGGTGCCACTGTAACAGACAGTCAGTGTTATTCACTTCACCTGCCAGTGGTCATAATGTTATGGCTGATCGGTGTATAATTTGATGCAAAATTAAGGTGTCATGGCACAAGACCTAAAATAAATACAGCTAAATGGATATGGAAGTGAGGGGCAGTATAAGTTCTAATTCAGTCAGGTGTGGTCATACATATCTCAGCAGTGTTAGATGTAGCTGAAGTAGCATAAACATGTGACGTGATGAAGCTGAACAGCTTCATCATCATTCTCAACCATATGTGCAAGATGTGACCCAGCAAACCTCAAGAAACCAACACGTCTCAATCGCAGATCACCACAGTCAGCTATATCCACAATTCTAATTCATTATCCACCCACAAATCCACCTTGGATTTATTGACACCACAAATTGTCAAATTAACAGACGTCAGCTTTCAAGTAAGTTAGAGCTAGAAAGAATACACTTAACTGGAATTCTGTTGATAGGAATAATAATGGAGGAACCATTTCTGATGCTTCATAAAGCTGCCCCTTACTTAAAATGTGGATTAGAAACAGTGATGGTCTTTTCAGAACAAACGTAACAGTTTCAGCTGCCATACTGTTGTCAAGGAATCACGTCAGTTAATTTGACATTATAGTTTAGCGGTAAAAGAATGTATTGCTGTTTGCAGATTCTGTGTATTTATCCAGGGAGATTAACGACTGACTGTATGTTTTTACAAACTAATTGCCTCAGTAGCTTGTGATAACATCGGTGAGGGCTTTTATGAACTATACATGTGTGTGATGTGCAGCTGCTGTAGAGACTTTGCGTGCGGTTTGAGAAGAGCACAGGCATTAAAACAGCACAATTACCTACTTTTTCTTCTGCACAAACATGCTTACAACAGTTGTTACTCCTGTGGGCTGAAAATGAATAATTTTGCAGTTTGTAAATGCCACCAGCTGACCATGTAATTTCCCTCTGTAGGGCTGGGTGACTACAGCTGTGGTCCCTGCCAAGATCCTCAGCAGCTACTTGATGGGGATGGGTTTGTCCCAGCGCGCTCGTTACCTCAAAAAGAAACAGGGGTAGATGGAGAAACAGGCAGCAACAGACAGAGGGGACCAGCTGTGTTAACGAATTGTTTGACTACCATCATCATCACGGACCAAGAAAAGAACAGAGGACAATCTGTGGGCAACGTCTCAGTTTCTCCCAGTCGTAGATGATGTGAGGCAGCATCTAGCCACGTTTTCTGGAGCATGTACTCAATCCAAACAGTTCTATGGAAATAACTGAACAAGGGGGTCTTCCTTACTGAGTGATCAGCTTTAATGAGTAAAAATACTAATATGGAAACAGTTTGCAAAACAGCTGATGCCATAAGGGGTGGATACAGAAAATTTGAATGCATCTGTGTTTGGTGTCCTCTGTATTTTTGTGTATTTGAGCTTCCTGATGGTTTATGAGCCATCTTAAAACTTTAGTAGAACACTGGAGGTATGCATTCCTTACTTGACACTTTATAAAGCATTGGATGTGTTATTGAGATTGAGAAAGCAGTAGTGGGTTTATGTCAGCAGTTTCCATTGTGATTAGTAATAGCTTCTTGTATTTGTCTGGTTTTATCATTTAAAGAACTGCGATGTTGTTTGGGACAAAAGCAGCACAAGCATTGTTATGTACTGATTATACAAAACTGTTTCACATTTCTCTTTTCAGCCATCAATAAATATACACTTCAAATAAACATCTATGTCACTTGTCTTGTCCTTTGTTTTAAATAACATGGCAATATGATGGAGCGGCATGGTGGCTAGTGTTGTTGCCCCACAGCAAGAAGGCTCTGGGTTTGAGTCCCAGATGACCTGGGGCCTTTCTGTGCAGAGTTTGCATGTTGTCCCTGTGCCTGCGTGGGTTCTGTCCGGATACTCTGGCTTCCTCCCACTGTCCAGAAATATGCAGCTTAGGTTAATCGGTGACTAAATTGCCCATAAGAGTGTGTGTGTTTGTTTACAGACTGATGAGAGACTGGTGACCTGTCCAGGGTATATCCCGCCTCTTGCCCAATGTCAGCTGGGATAGGCTCTAGCCCCCCCTCAACCATATTCAGGAATAAGATAATGGATGGCTGTAAGATTTTACAGCATGGAGAGCACTAATTGGGCTTTGTAATTTGCAAACATATGAAGGAGCTTGAAGTCAGATACCATAACACTCAAACATACACACTAAGTCCACAAACCTTTGTGCATAAAAATGCCTTGCATATATACAGTGAATTTTGTGTTCTAGTGTTTTATAACCTACCCTCAGCTCACGTATCTGCCTCGAGTGGTTTTTACCATTATTTGTCATTTTCACAGGCCATGCAAATGAGTAGCTTTTTCATGTTCTGCCTCTTCCCTCCCAAACATCACTGTCTGGTTCCCATGCCAACTGTCTCTGGGAGATTATTCCGGTGCACTGGTATGGAAGCTGCGGAAATGTGTCATCGCTGAGAGTGTAGGAGGGGAGAGGAGCTCTGTGTGTGGAGGGATGCCCAAAGGAAAAAAGGAGTGGGTTGTAGAGATGTATATAAAGGAGAGTTCAGTGGTGCTCAGAGTCCACAGCTTGCACAGGCTTGCACACAGAGTGATTTCATTGCAGAATTTCAGAGCGAAGAGCAGATTTTGAAAAGGAGTACAACAGGATCTCTCATCAAGCAGAATCCTCGGGACTGAATATTAAACAACTCACTGACTGAGCATCGTGTTTCATATTTTACAATTTTTTGTCTTTTTTTTTTTTTGCATAATCTGCTTCAAAGTCGTGGTGGACAGCTGATCAGATACCTCAGACTTTTCAACAAAAGGCTTTAAATTCTACGCTGCTTCTACTCTAGAGTTTCACTGTCTACAGCTCATTATCCTGACATTTGGGCCACTATTCACCATGGCGACCAGTATGGACACACTCCCTGCCCATCTGCTGCCTTTGGTGATGGAGGAGTTCCCCCAGTCTTTGGACACAGCTTGTGTCTGCAGGGCTGACCAACGTGAGCCCCGCCTCCGCTGCGTGCAGTGCGGCATCATCGAGGAGGAGGAGGAGGACTGCTCCACCCTGGAGGAGGACCAAGCCCAGCGATCCTTCCTGCAGACTGTGGAGAGCCTGAGGAGGAGCACCAGATGAGCTCCTTCAGATGAAGTTGTGGCGTGACTTGACATGTTTGACCCATTTGGCTTCGCAGCAGCCAGTTTGGGGAGCGACAGGTTGTCTACAGTGTTCTGGATGCAGAGTGAGCTGACGTCAAACCTCTGTGGGTGGTGATATTGTGGAAAAACTGTCATCACTGGTGGGCATCATATACTGTATGTCAGTGGAGGAGGATGAGTCAAGACACACACAAAACTGTGTTGAAGCATTTGAAAGAGCAAAGTGCTGGCAGCAAACTACCATTCAGCATATTTCATCTATATTTTTGAAGTAAATTAGGTTTATTGTTTAGTGATTTTATGCAAAGCCTTTTCAAATTGTTATATTATTCATGTTATTGCATTTCTGTTTCTTTATCTTCATATTGCCTGCTACTTAGATTCTGAATTTAATATACAAAGCTGATGTTCTTACATCTTTTTGGTCTTTCTTATTAGGTTTAAAGATAAAAAGCTGTATAAATTTCATATTGACAAATAAATGTGCTTTATACAAGTTTCTGTCTGTTCAATGTTACTTCAGATTTCACACTAGAAGCTATGTTTTTAAGGGAAATGTTGAGTCTCAGAAAGCCATGGGAGTTTTTCAAGCCTTTCCATGTGGTGGCACTATTGATACATTTTTTTGAGCTAAATAGCACAAACAGTACAGTAATCTCTCCTCCTAGTCCAACCTACCAGCCTATAAACACCTGTGAACTACCCCTGCTGTTTCTGATATAACTCAAACATAAATTCATTCTGCCTTTAATTATTTATGTGAAACAAACAAAAGACAGTTAAACCACATGAATCCCCCAGCTATCACACAGTGCCGTCCTTGGGCTTCGAAATAAAAAACAAAACTTCACCTTGTACCTGTGCGAATTTATTTCCCACTCCTATTTTTTCACTAAATTGCCCTGTGACCAATCTATTCCCACTATGTTTACTATTATCAAGACAGTTTACACAGTCAAGCTGTCTGGATAATCTCTGCACACTTGAAAATGTGTTACTCCTCTGCCTAAAAAACAAAAACGATTACAAAGCAGCTATCTACAGTATCACAGAATGAGCAAGCAGTTGTTTGTATCATGGATATATTGGATTGCATTTTCTTCATTTCTTAATGGTTTTCAAAAAAAAAAAGAGATTTTTGACAAATGCGCTCTGCAGATGTCTGCTCAATAAATGAATTCAGTTACAGAGGCTGCGTGCCAGCTGCAGCTTGTTCAGTTTTTGGTTGTTATGCAAATATCTGCTTCTCTGCAAGAGATCTTCTTCTTAAAAAAATGTGCATTCAAGACATCAACTCTTTCATTTCTGTTTTCTTTGCCAGTTAATTCAGTGATGACTGCAATGGTGAAGTCAGATGCTGTTTTTCTCCTTCCAAAGCTCTGTGTGGTTCAACAAACTTGAGTTCATCATTATTGTGTTTAAGCCTCATTTAAATGGCTAATAAATGAACCTGTTTTTTGACAAATCATATTTTCTAACCATGATTACCCTTTTTAACTAATCAGTCAAAAGATAATCCTTGTCTAATGTTTACTTTATTGTAAAAAAAATTTTGAATCTCTTCAAGTGACCCTCATATTCTTAGTGTTCATTTTCAAACAGCAGAGTTTGGTTTTAATTAAGCTTTGGCGTTTTTCACCAATTCTTAACATCTGCACCAATTCATTTAAAGTGCATGTGGTTGCTGGAGTGTGTCCCATGCTGGGCAAGTCACCAGTTTGTTACAGGGTTAAAGCTTATGGACAACCACACGTACACTGACATCTATAGGCGAGTCAGAGCTACTGACCTGTGCAGTATGTAGCCTACACAGTTTGGCCTGTGGGAGACGGTCCCACTAAACCAGTGGTTCCCAGGCTGGGGAATTTAAGTCAGGGTGGCCACAGAAACAGCTAAATATAACTGATGTGTATATTTTATTTTTTATCCACTAAGCTAATCTGAGTCAGTATTTTAACATAGATTAAAACACACACACACACACACACTGGAGTAACCACACCAACAGCCAGAAGAAACCCCACCAAGCCCAAACTAAATACATCCCGCCCAAAGGAGCATTAATGGGGATCCCGCCAGGTGCTTCTCCCCGAGGCATTCTGGGAGACCCCGCCAAGTGTCTGTCCACCCCCAATGCTACAGTATCTTATAAAGTTATAGGCTATTTAAAACAAAGTTTCCTTGTTTCCCAGGAGAGTAGCTCCTCGCTTAGCTTTGGCTGAAGGACACGCTCTAGCAGCTGTATGTAAGCTCTGTTGCTGGTGTTGTGTCTGCTCCCCCACTGAGATGTGTTTCCCCTTAGTACTTTAACCGGAACCTAACCTTATTCTTAATTTCTCTGTGTAGTCACTTTCTAGATGAAAAACTTCATGACTCTTCTGAAGTTTAGTAAAAGTTACACTGACTGAGACCCATATGTATTAGTAGGTCTATTTTTTTTTAAGATCAACTTGAAAAATCACAGACCTGTCTTTCAACTGCCTGAACATTGTCTTATACTGCTAAGAAATGAAATATGAATAATTATGTTTGGGATGGAAATTATTTTGTGCATATATTACCTCAAAGTGGTTGCTGCTGTTGCTTTTAGAGGGTTTTCTGTGTAAAGAGATTTGGCTTTAGGGATTTTAACACAACTGTTGTCACAGCCCATTAACCTAATTAATATTTGCTTCTTGGGAAACTGAACTGCTTTAGTCACATTCATAATTTCCCCACACGCTTCGCATTCAACGGCCATTTCTATACTGTTCTTCATATCATAATTACATCTTAACTGCTAATCCCAGTTCTACGTTTTATGCGGCTGCTTCATTCAGCTACTTCATGTACTGATGGCCATCCGCTCCTTATCGCTGCACTGACTATAAGGAAATTTTCTGTTCCATGTCTGAGGTCGCGTGATTTTAATATGAACAGTATAAGTAATTATTTTGATGATCAAGAGCCTAAAATAATAACAAACAAACAGACATAGTGGGTACTTGGGTGCTTTTGGCACCAGTCTTCATTATCCCACCATAGTTTGCTCACTGAGCACATGTAGGTACATGATTGGACTTGCCCTCCCATTTCACTTGCCACGCTGCAAATCGCTGCCACATTGCCGGGTTTGCTTCATTTGTGCACGGCATGCTATTAAGGCGTTATTTGTATAATTTATCACTTCTAATTCCAAGGCTCAGCCATATTGGCAGAAACATTCAAGACTAAATTGAGTGTGAAGATTGAAAGGAATTAATGTCTGCTGGACTGTGAGCTCAATGTGTCTTCAGCAGAGCCTCAGTCACCACAAGGACAAGAGTCTAAGCAGGATTTGTACGTTAAAGGTTGACTTGGCAAAGTCAATAATTGAGCTACTCCAGGAGAGTCTGTCCACACCAAAGCAATCAGCCTTTCTTTTTTCTTGGATGAGAAGATAAAGCCAAGCAGTTTAATGAGACTATAAGGCTTGTAAGTGGGACAAAAAACAGAAAGGGAATTTATTCTTTTTTAACAATGTTCCAGACTTCTAAAATAAACCTTGACTTGAAGTCAGATAACACAAGTCAATGCCATC